GGTGGGTTTGTTGACCCTGTACATGGTATATGCAGATTCTAATTATTATTGCTCAGTACTATATTCATTATGAGCTATTTCTCCTCAGCTTCATCACACATAATGCCATAACTAGAAGAAAGCTAGAAAATTCTCTCACACTATGCAATAATTTTTAAGTCATTCAGAAGTTACACATTCAATATGATTAGGTAGGATGAAAATTTTGATTCAGTCAATAAGCAAATGGGCCTTAAATATGGCAGTATATAGATGATGAAGTCAAAAGAAGACCGAAGTCTCTTTTTAATGAAAAAGTAGACACAAGTACAAAGGATAATCTGAGAAACTCAAATTGTGAGCCCTGAATTGCAGAGAATGGAGCAGAGTATAAAGTTCCTTCTAGTAGACAGAGGAAAAACGAGAAAATTGGCTCACAGAAAATGATGAGGGAATTGGAGACAGAGATAAGGAAATGACAGTTATTTTTCCCATGATTTTAAAGTGAAGGAATAGAACACAGAGCTCCTGAAACTAAAGAATTTATTTGGCAAGGAGAAAGCATATCAAGATTATGTACAGTAGAGGGAAGAAAAATGTAAGTTCTGATGAAATATCCTAATGGAAACGATAATAAAAGTAATTAAAAAAACTTTCTAAAGATGCTACTTTGAAAATTACAAGATTGTCACAACTCTTAAAAAGAATCATTTTTGAAATAAGGAGCAGACTGTTAAAGAATTTTCCAGTAATTTGGTGATGTTTATCATTTTAAGCCCAGTACATGACAAGATCTAATATACGTTGTTCTTCCTCATAATAGATTTTTGCAAAATATAAAAATCATATTAGTTAAGACCTAAAGGTCTTTTGGAGAACAAATTTAAAACTCAAGCTACATGGACTAAAATGGGGGTGGGGGTAAGAGAGAGCATACTGGTAGCCAGGTGCTGTAGAATAAGTTGTCTTACTTAATCTTCATAGATATTCTAATAGAATAAACTTCTTAGAGTTACTATCTGCATGTTATGAGTTAATAATTACAATTATTGAAGACAATAACTAGCTTACCTTCCTAAAAAATTAAACTATCATTTTAATCATTCTTCCTTGTACCAGCAAATGTCACTATTCAAAAAAGGGTGAAACTTAACAGAATGAACTTGTTAAATATAAAGTGAATACATCTACAAAATCTTAATTATAATTACATAGTCATTTGTGATCATTTTCAATAGTTCTTGGCAAAGACAATTGAGCATAATGAGGTCCATTAATGGACTGATATGTTGTTTACATGTGGAGAAGGGACTTCACAAAAATGTCCTGAAGAGCAGGAGGGAATATGAAGTGAAATACTAGATGGAGGTGGAAATCCATGCTGTGGCATCCATAGAGTCAGTAGAGGCATCATGTAATAAAGTTTCAGATCATTTAAGTAAGTCATTCTCATCAAAAGTCAGTAAATACTTAACTGGTAAAATGACTACTTTTAGCTTTTCACTTTTTAATGAGTGTAAAAGAGATTAAGGTCAATATTCTCCCACTCACAATGTTACTGATCTCACAAGGCTCTTCAAGAGTGAACTATGAAGATGTTTATGTTGCCGTATTATTAGAGCTTGAAATCTGTCCCTCACTTGGATTTCAAAAATGTTATGGTGTAATGTGATTATTGACACCAAATTTTCCTTTGATGGGATTAGAAATCTTGGGGTTATTTTCACCAGCTGTTCAACTCTTTCATAAAATAATATAGATTTCAGAGGAGATAACCTCTAGAATTAAATTGTTTTTAAATGGTGCATGCAACCAAAAGAAGTTAGGGATTGAGATGCAGCTACAAACACTGTAGCAAAGAAAATATATTAAACAAAGGTAAGCTAAGCAAATCACGTAAAATTAAAATGGGAATCAGTTTACTTACATTTTACAAAATTTATCTCAACTGAATTTGAAAATTAAGGATTTCATGAGCTGGGACCAGCAGGTGGCATGATGGTTTAGATAGTGGATTCCCACATGGCTGACCACAGTTGGAGTCCTGGACCTGACAGCTCTAATCATGCTGGATATGTGCTTGTATATGCCCAAAATGGTGAGAGAAGATTGGAAAAGAAGGAATTCTGGTGTGGCCATCCCCCCCAGGGGGAGAGTTCTCACTTTCTCTCTTTCTGTCTCTCTCCAGCAAATGCATGTGCCCTATGGCAAAAACCTAAAACCCTACTTTTTGGACCTAAAACAAAACAAAATAAAACAAAGAAATTCATATATAAACTATGTTCCAAACATAATATAAGATATCATGCCTACCAACCACACAGAATGTTCTGGAATATCTGGTATATTATACACTCCCCCCCTACATTCTCCATCTCCATATCTCCCAACTGTTAGCACTATGCAATAGAGTTCTCTATGATGACAAAAATGTCCTGTAGCTGCTCTGTCTGTATAGGGTCGCTACTAGCCACTTGTGGCTACTGAGTACTTGAATATGGCTAGCAAGATTACGGAGCTGAAATTAAAATATCATTTCATTTTAATTTATTTAAATTTTAGAGGTCAGGTGGTGGTACAACAGCAACACACAATGCTCTGTGAGGTGATCCAACATAAGAAAACTCCCTGATCAGATATGGGGACCTTCCTGAGTACTCTGGGCACACACTCTCTCATGATGCAGGGCTACGTGAAGACTGGGGATGAATCAAGGTGTCATATCCTAGGACCAGCAGTTAGCGTAATGGCTATGTCATTGGACTACCATGTAGTTGACCGCGGTTCGAGTTCCAGACCCAGTGGCTAAACTCACGCCAGGCATGTGTGCGTGCATGCCCAAGATCCTGAGAAGAAAATGGAGGAGAAGGGATTGCGGCATGGCCATCCCCCCTGGGGGGTGATTTCTTGCCCATCTTTCTGTCTTTCTCTGTCTTTCTGGCGAGGGCACGTACCCTATAGAAAAAAAAAAAAAAACTCTCAGAAAAAAAGTGTCAGATCCCTGTTGAAGGTACTGACTCTTTGACGTTCCCCCTCTCTCTCTTGCCCATGGAAAATAAATAAATTCACACTTAAAAAAATTTTTAAGTGGCCACATGTGGCTACTGACTACCTTTTGGACCACGGAGTCCACTAATGTATGACAACTATGCCTGGCAGTGCTCCGGGACAACAAATAGCAGCTGTCTCAGTAGAGGCACATTGGAATCTTTTGGGGAGCTACAGGAACAATTCTACAATGCAGACTCCATCTCAGAGAGTCTAACCTAGCTGGTTTGGGCAAGAGGGTTAGAAATAGCATCACTCTCTCTAAATCAGAGCAACACATAGAGCTAAGTAAGGAAGAGGCTCTGAGCACCAGTGTTCCTGGCGCTATGTTCCTTTCACATCACATGTGGGGGCGGCTGTGGTGGGAGGAAGGTTTCCCAGATGCCAGGCAGAGGAGGTTACAAAGTGAGATTGCCCGATTTTGAAGCTGCTGATTGATTTTGAGAGAATGTTCAAGAAATCTATAAAGATAGAGGGAAACAAAATAGAAAGAAGACATGAGAAGAAACAGGAAAACTCACTGAGCAGAGAACAGAATTATACAATTTAGAGAAAGCAAACCACCTAATACAATTATTGAAAATGCTATGAACAAGGTCATTGACTAACACTGTTATTATGTGATCAAAATATCTCAATAAAACACAAACATTTAACCACATTGGTTAGACCCAGGGAGAACCTTTCTATAAAATAGACCGTTGACTGGCGAACAAAAGTTTTTTGATTGTACACCTCTATTAGGAAAAAATTGGTCTTGAATATGAGTTCTTCGTGATGTAAAACACAGCACCTGCCAGCCATACAGAAGCTTTGGTGTTTCTGTTATGTCATACCCTCTGTTCTATCTAGATGGACTTCCATCACCACAGGCAACTGAATTTACACTTTATAAATTTTAAAATGAATGCTACCTTCCTGGGGTTATGTATACAGTCAAAACCAAAGAGAAAGACCCATTTGGATTTTGCCCTGTTCATTTATTTGCAATTATTAATTTACATTATTCTCAATATAGGATTTTCTTCAACTACTTTCTCCAATTTCAAGCTCTGATCCTCTAACCCAAGTGCCACTACCCACATGTTGCTATTTAATTTTACATGTAATTTTGGTTAAATTGGATAAAGAAAAGTCAGTTCCTCAGCCACATGAGCAACAACTTAAGTGCTCAACTGCCACATATGGCTAGTGGCCACCAAAATGGGTAGAAAGGAACCTGTCCCTCATTGCAGAGCTTGTGTTGGACAGTGCTCACCACGCATGTAGAATATGCGTCTGGAACTGTGTCGGCGATGAAGAGTGACTGCCGACAGAATGTGGTCTCTGCCTACTCAGGCGATAACGGTATTGGGTACATCTCCTTTTTGGTACTTCTTTCTCCCATTCATAGATTCTCCCAGAGAGATACATTGAGATTCCCAGCTACAATTCAGTTCCCCTTGGCCCCAATCCAGGTACATCTGCATTCCTATTTGCTGATCTGGTGGAGTTTATAATGAAATCTTCTTACAAACTACATAGGCCCAGATCCACATCCATGGCCTGGCCAGACAGCTGTGTAGTTCCCCACACATCCCCGCTCCTCACCTGCACCACTCCCTGACGGCTCAGATGGCCAAGTTCCAGGGGTCATGCTTCTGCCCAAACTTTTCAGAGGTGAATTTTAGTCCTAAACCCAGAGGTATCTGGGAGAACCTTTTATGCCATTAGTCCACACTGTTTCCAGGAACGGACTCCATCTCCAGAGCTCTTACCTGATAGTAGGTGTCCTGCCCTTTACTGACAGAGATTCTGACCCTGCATTATGTAGTCACTGCCATCTGATAGCTCCTCTGGTATTAGAAGTCCACTTTTCATGGGTGTATCCATTAAATACAGTACCTTAGAGTGACACCTGCTTCTTGAAACCACTTCTTTTTTCTCTCATCCTTTTCCATGTTCTGGTCTAAGGTGCACTAGGGTCACCATACCCAGCCTAAGCTGAACTCCTTCCTTGAAACCCACGATGAGCATCAAGTTGGAGACTCCATAACTCATGGCGTGATATACTAAAATATCCATACTTCTTTGCCAAAAGTGAGTTGCCAGCAGGCCAGAGAGTTTGTACCAATGCAATAAAGTTTTTGTTTTGAGATTGACTACCCTGCAATGGGATAGAACCCATGACTTTGGCATCCTTGGCACCAAGCTCTCACAGCTGAACTAACTGTCACCAGTGAAAGTTTAAGGTCACAAGGGATTTGGGCTGCCTTTTTGCATTCTATCCTCCAAAAACAGGGTAAATGATCTTGATTACACAAGTTACCCAAATAAAAATACTTCAACTCGGAGAATTTTCTAGAGCAGTATGTACTTGTGGTAGCTATAGAAGAACTCAGAATGAACTACCATGTGTCAGTTACAGAGTCCCATGAAAAGAAACATGGCGGTAGTAGGAGGTCTTGCTGGGAAAAAGATTACTTTAAACATCAAATCATCGAACTTTTTGGCAGTCACTGCCTTAACAAAACAGATTCAAATAAAAGGATAGGACATAAGTTATTGTTTCAGAATAATTTTTTCTCAGTTGTTTAGAATGCTTTCATTGTTCATGAATCTCTTTGTTTCTGATTGAGTATTGTCCCACTTGACTGCAAAAGAGAATGAAAGCTTTTTTAGGTAATAAATGCTTAAGTTCTTTATTTATTTATTCCTCCCTTGAGTGAGAAAAGCACAGAAAAAGAAAGAGCTCCTTCAAAAGGGTTTTGGTGCCATAATCCACCCACAAGCCTCCAGACAACCCTGGATCATGGGCAAGTGTGAGCCTCACATACTCAAGGAGGTCACTAGATTTGAACCCAGAACTTTCCCATGGGGGACTGACTCACAAAGCATAGTGCAGTCTGTTGCTATCCCACTAGCTGGCCCTGAGACTGAAAACATTTTGAAATAGACATGGAAAAGTTAACATTTCTTTATAGTTTTATGCAGTAACTCCAGAATGATCCTTGCCAATGATTCATGCTTTGATGTCAAGCAAGAAAGGGGAAGAGAATGCAGTCAGTGGCTGGAAGGTATTCTTACCATTTGCAATGAGTCAGCCTTCCATCATCAAAAAACACAAATGTGGGACCAGCAGTTAGTGTAATGGCTATGTCGCTGGACTCCCATGTAGTCGACCGCGGTTCGTGTCCCGGACTCAGAGGCTTAAAACTCATGCCAGGCGCATGTGCGTGCATGCCCAAGATCCCTAGAGGAGAACGGAGGAGAAGGGACTGTAGCGTGGCCATTCCCTCTAGGGGGTGATTTCTTGGTTTCTGTCTCTCTGTCTCTCTCTGTCTGTTTGGCGAGCGAACGCACCCTATAGCAAAAACCTCTCCAAAAAAAAAAAAAACAAAAACGTAACCAACATACATCTTAGTACCCACAAAACCAGTCATTTGCTATTGATATTTCAATATCATAATGGATGATATTGAATGAGCTCATTCAATGGCATTTATGAGCCCCCCTAAAATACAGTTAAGTTCCAAAAAGGGAATAAAATAATTAACATTTGTATAATTTATCAGCTAGATACAATAATAATAATGAATGCAGTTGCTATAATATGATAGCTGGTAAATTCTACTTCTCAAAGAGAGGAATAAACATTCAGAAAGAAAAAGAGGGGCCAGCAGGTGGCAGGGTGGTTAACGCACTGGATTCCTACTTAGTCAATCATAATTTAAGTCCCAGACCCAGTGGCTTGATAATCACACAGAGAGCATGTGTGTGCAGTGCCAAAAATACTGAGAATGGAGGAGAAGGAATTAAGGTATGGCCAGCACTCCCCCACATGCCGGGGGTGAGATTTACTTTCCCTCTCCATGACTATCAGGCTCCAGTAAATGCAAGTGTCTATGGAAAAAACTAGAAGAAAAAAAGAAAAAAGAATTACCATAAGAAAGAGTCCTAGAAATGAATGTTATTCTACTGAAGTCATATAAAAATCTCAAACTTTTAAAACTTTTATTCATAAGTAATTGATACACATTGTTTAAAATGTAAAATAGAGAAGAAAATTAAAATCACACATGATTTCCTTACCCAGGGCTAACTGATGTGAAGCCTTTGTTGCATATTCTTCCAGAATCACTTATTTATTTGCCCTCCTCTTCATTACTCAATAAAAGCTCAATGCTCATATATACCTTATGTACTATTATAATTGGTTTCCTTCATGATGCATTCCATTTTAATAAATAAATTTTTATATATCATAATAAATAGAGAATGTTTAATGGATATAGGGTATTCTTTTTATAAAACATGATTTCCAAACCAATCGCCACACATTTAATTTTGGCAATATATAACAAAAGACATGAAAAAAATGCATACATTTTGACCCAGCAATTCAAGTTTTGTGAATGAATACTAATTATTATGATCTGTAAAGATGTAGCAGAAAAGTTGTTTGGTTATTTTTATAGTTGTAAAAGTTAGAAACACTGTAATTCAGGAAATAATTTAATAAATCATAGCATGTCCACACTGGAGTATTAATGCAGTCCCCTAATAGTTTTGTTTTGAAGGATACACAACAGTATAGGAAAATATTAAATAAATACACAATTCCAAATCTAAGAAAATTTTTAAAATATATGACATGTCTGAAACAATTATGCAATTTATTTTAAAAATATATGTCTTTAAAACTAAGCAAAATGAAATAGTTATGAATAATTTTTAAATACGTAACCCTTTTAGAGAAAAATAGAAAAATTGTATTAGGAGTAATTTTAAAACATCTAAAATAAATGAACAATTATATATTGCTAATGGTAGGAAGACTAAATATGATAAAATGTCAATCCTCCTCAAATAAATTTATGAATTTAATGCAATTTTATTAAAGATTGACTTAAAACCTAATTTAAAAGTCAAAGTAACCATTGGGCCAGCTTCAAGGCCTGGTGATTAAGGTGACTGGATCCGACATGGCTGACCATGCTGTTTGAGTCTCAGACCTGACAGCTTGAGGAATACATTGGGTGCATGTACATGAATGCCCAAAATCCCCAAAGGAGGGAGAAGTGGAGGAGAAGGGATACAGTCTGACCATATTCCATGGCAGGGATGGGGGAGGGGGGTGCTTTCTCCTCTCCCTCTCCCTGTCCCTCTGTTTCTCTCTAGTGAGCCCATGTGCCTCTTTTTTTAAAATATAGTTTTATTTCTATTTCTATCATACATTCAATCACATATGTCACTTAGCTTGCAAAGTGAATATTCCAGCATTAATACATTCCTCACTAGTCTAGTAGAGAATACTATACACGTTATCTTCAACTGACAATAACCCACATTTTCCCATAAATGCCTTATCTCGCCATTTTTCTCCTTAATGTCCTTCCTCAGACTCTCATCCTTCACCCACCCTCTTCCCACATTGTAGCTGGTATTTATAACCTTTTTAAAAATGTTTCCATAACCTCTAGTCATTCAGTTTCAGCTATATAGTACAGACACTTGGGATATGTTAAGTGGAAACATAACGATGTCTCTCCCTTCATAGACTGGCTTACTTCACTCAGCAGTAAATATTCCATATTTATACACTTTCTGTCAAAAGCCAGAGTATTGTTGTTTTTTTATGACTGAGTAGTATTCCATATATGTGCCACACTTTTTCAATTCATTCATCTGTTTGTGGGCATTTGGATTGATTCCATGACTTTGCATTTGTGAATAATGCCACAATAAACATAGTTGTGCAAACGCTTTTCCGACTAAGGATTCTTCTGTCCTTTGAGTAGATACCAAGGAGTGGGATTCCAGGATCATATGATAGTTCTTTTCCTAAATTTTTGAGGAATCTCCAAATTTTTGAGGAATCTCATAGTGGCTGGGCCAATTTACATTCCCACCAGTAGTGTAGGAGAGTTCTTCTTTCACCACACCCCCACCAACACTTATCATTTTTTTGTTTTTTAATCTTAGTCATTCTGACTGAGGTTAGATGGTATTGTGGTCTTGATCTGCATCTCTTTTATAATGAGGGCTGTTGAGCATTTTTTCATATGCCTTTTGGCTGTTCATATGTCTTCCTTAGAGAGTGTTTTTTTCAACTTATTCTCCCATCTTTTAATAGGGTTGATGATCTTTTTTCCGGGACAGCTGCTTGAGTTCCTTGTGTATTCTGATTATCAGTCCCTTTTCTGACGCACAGTTAACAAACATATTTTCCCATTCTGAGGGCTGTTGATTCATATTAATTATTGTGTCTTTTGCCATGCAGAAACTTCTTAATCTGATGTAATACCATTTATCTATTTTTGGGATTATTGACTGTGCTTTGGGGGAGAAGGGTCCTCACTTTTTTTTTTTTTTTTTTTTGCTACAGGGTGTGTGCGCACCAGAGAGAGAGAGAGAGAGAGAGAGAGAGAAAAAGCGAGAAATCACCCACCTGGCGGATGACCACGCCACAATCCCTTCTCCTCCATTCTCCTCTCAGGATTTTGGGCACACATGCACATGTGCCCAGTGTGAATTTAAGCCACCGGGTCCAGGACTTGAACTGCGGTTGACTACATAGGAGTTCAGTGACATAGCCATTATGCTAACTGCTGGTCCTAGGGGTCCTTATTTAAGAAGTCTTTGCCTACCCCAATGTCTCCCAGAGTTTCCCCAGTGTTTTCCAGGAGCAGTTTTATAGTTTGAGGTCTTAGGTTCAGATCTTAGATCCACTTTGAGTTGATTTTTGTCAATGGTGAGAGGTAATTGTATGTCCCCACTTAATATATACCGAGTGTCCGCACTCTATGACTGAAACCGACTGACTGAAGGATGTACAAACACAAGAGATGGGTGTGATTGCCAGAAGTGGCGAGTGTGAAGGAGTGGGGCCTGGGGAAGGGCATTTGGAGGAGAGATATGGAGACAGAGCATTGACGGGATGGAGAGGTAGTGGGATTATCTGTTGAACATATTTTGATCAACTAGATTGGGGAGAAATGTTCACATATTGAAATGTTCACTTTGTAAGTTAATGTGATTGAATGTATAAAAAAATAAAA